CCTTTTCGATCTTCCAGTGAAGCCTATGTTTATACCCCTTCTCGTTCCATTGACTTGAATCAGTGTATCTCCTTTTATCACGTTCCTTAATCGGAGAACAATGGTAACTGCTCTTACTTCTTGACGAAGCTGCAACATACTATAAACACTGGAGAAAATGTTGGGTTTCAATTTGGTTGTGATTCAGGGGCTCTCGCTGAAGCTCTAATGGGTATTGGTGACAATAAGACTTTGCCATGAATATTCTTTCCCTTAATATTAGAAGTATGGGCGAGACTCATAAGATCGATTGGCTCCAAAGACTCTAGAAAGAACTTCATTTATCTTTTTTTGGAAATTAAGAAACGAGAATTGCAAATCATCCTCTGGATATTGGAAATTGGTGGGGGAATGATAATTTTAGTACGGATTTTGTTGCTACGGTTGGTAGATCAGGTGGGATGATCTATTTTTGGGACAAGTCCCTATTCATGTAATTGATTTTATTAAGAATCGTCATTATCAAGTGGTGATTGGATATTGGAACGGTATGCAAGGGGAGATTATTATTGTCAATGTTTATGCTCCTCGGGCCATCTATGAGAAGAATGTGTTGTGGACAAATTTAAGCAATCTCATAGCTTCTAGACCAGGAAACTGGATTGTCTTTGGGGATTTTAATGCTGTCAAAAATCCTGAGGAACGTGCCAACTCTTCGTTCTGCCCTTATATAGCTAATGCATTTAACAAGTTTATCTATGTGAATGGTCTGGTTGATCTTAATATGGGAGGGATGAGGTTTACTTACTTCTCTGATGTGGGTTGTAAACTCAGTAAGCTTGATATGTTTATCGTATGTGCCAATTTCATGTCTTTCCTTCTTATTGCCTCCGTCATGGCTCTCCCGCGTGAGCACTCTGATCACTTCCTCATTATTTTGAGGAAAAATCTCATTGACTTTGGCCCACCTCCATTTAGATTCTTCAACTCGTGATGGTTTTGAGAATCTTGTTGTTGATTCTTGGTCCAATTTTGTTGGAGGTGGGTCGGCGGATAGATTTTTGTCGGATAAACTGAAGGCCTTGAAATATGCGATTAAAGCTTAGAGGAGGAGGGACTACAATCTGGAATGCAAATAATTAACTAAGGCTAGATCCAAAGTTGATGAAATTGAGCTTTTAGCGGAGGAACGACCTCTTTCGGGGGAAGAAATCAACACTAGGAGGATATGCAAACAAAATATTTTAGATATTGAATAAAGGGGTAGATTGGATTTAATTCAAAAATCCAAGATTCATTGGCTTACAGATGGAGACGATAGCACAAAAATTTTCCACAATTCTCTAAAAATGAAAAACAGGAGATCCAGTATTCATGGCTTAATGATAAATGGGGTGTGGATCACTGATGCAGACACGATTAAACAGGAAGTTTGGAGCTTTTTTAGTTCTAAATTCCATGAGACTAAAAGGAGCAGACAAGAATTCTCGAATTCTAACTTCAAAAAACTTTATGAGATGGATAGACAATTTTTGGAGTTCCCCATTGATCTTGCAGAGATAAAGGATGTTGTTTATAATTGTGAAGGTGATAAGGCGTCGGGCCCGGACGGTTTCACCTTTAAGTTCATAAAAAAGTTCTGGAACCTCTTGAATGGGGACATTTTGAACTGTGTGAAGCATTTTGAAAAGTTTGACCGTTGGGCGCGAGGCAGTAATTCTTCTTTTATTTCTCTTATCCCTAAGGTCAAAGATGCGATTACCCATAAGTCTTATTGGCTGTGTATATAAGATAATTGCGAAGGTTTTGGCGAATAGGCTGAAAAAGGCGGTGGGATCAGTGATTGGTGAAGTTCAATCGGATTATATTGAGGGTCAGAATATTCTTGACAGGCCTTTAATTATCAACGAGGTGTGTGCGTGGTCAAAAAAGCGAAAGAGAAAATGTTTCTTTTTCACAGTAGATTTTGACAAAGCGATCGACTTCGTTAACTGGAATTTCCTGGATTCGGTGATGCATCAAATGGGTTTTGGAGATAGATGGAGATTCTGGATTAGAGGATGTCTTACTTATTCTCAGGCCTCTGTTCTCATAAATGGCAGTCCCTCCAAGGAATTTCCTATCTCCTCTGGAGTTAGAAAAGGCGATCCTTTGTCCCCTTTCCTTTTTATTATTGTGATGGAGGGCCTCAACGTAGCTATGTGTTCTGCAAATCAACAATCAATTTTCCAAGGTATCGACATCCCGAACGATCCGACTCTTTCCCATATCTTTTATGCCGACGACACCTTATTTATTGGGAAATGGACGTCCTTGAACTTTGCAAATTTGGCTCGGATTCTAAAATGTTTTCATGCTTCTTCGAGTCTCAAAGTTAACTTTCACAAATCCAAGGTGTTTGGATTGGATTTCAGCTAACGGAATTTCTGCTTGTGCCCGTATTCTTGGTTGCAACTCCAGAACACTTCCTTTTTGCGTACTTTGGAGTGACTGTGGGGGCTAATATGGCGTTGAAAATAATTTGGCAGCCGGTGATTGATCGAATCCAATCCAAGCTTTCATCGTGGAAAGTTAAGACCCTCACCTTTGGCGGAAGATTAACCTTAGTCAAGGCGGTTCTTGGCAGTGTTTCCTACTATATTTTTTTTTCTTTTTTCTTGGCCCCTAATTCTATCACCAGGGCCATTGAGAAGATGAGGAGAACATTTCTTTGGGGTGGGGGGGGGGCTCTGAGGATAAGAACAAAATCAATTGGGTGACGTGGGATGCTGTTCTCGCTCCTAAGCACAATGTAGGTCTCAGTGTTGGGTCGCTCAAAGATGCTAATTTGGCTTTGTTATCGAAGTGGCTTTGGCAGTTCAGATCACATAGTGGTTTGGATGCGGGTTTGTCGCGAAGCTCAACCTTGAGAGGGTATTGGGTAGATTGGTGTATTTGCCCTTTCAACATTTTGTAATTTTCCTTTGTTTTTTTGTTCCCTTGTTTTTTTGTTTCTTTTCATGCCTTCTCTCTTAGGCAGTTTTTAATAAAATTCTGCCGGTTCCAAAAAAAAATTACTTCTTAATCATTACATCTATTTAAGTGGTTTGGATGCGGGTTTGTCGCGAAGCTCAACATTGTTTTAAATATTCTTGGCAAATTAAACTGTTTACTTGATCTTCCAATTGCATGTTATTTTTTGGGTAAAAGACACTCAGTTTACACCAAAATTCTAATTTGACATTGTGTTTTTTTTTTGTCTCAAATTTGACACCGTGTTTTCCAATTTGTTACAATTCTGACCACTTGACCGGTTAACCAGGTTACATGCTGACGTGACATGCTGACGTGTCAAAATTGAATTTTTTTCCCACAAAAAACACTAAGTTTTCACTTTTTTTCAATTTTGACACTAAGTTTAATTTTTTCTTTCAATTTTGACACTATGTTTTTTTTATTCCAAATCGAACATCATTTTTTTCCAATTTTGTTTAATGTTGACAATTTTCAATTAAAAACCATAGTTTTGTATAAGGTTTTTTTTCCATTCAAACCATAATTTTATATATAAATATGCATTAGTTATATAAAAATCGTATTTAATATTAAATACGCAACTTTAAAATGAGTTTGAAGGGTTGGAGCCGTGTAGTCGATCAAAACCCGGATGTCAAATTTGCAACCCGTGAAATTTTTACATCTTATTAGAAGCTTATGGTTAGTTTGATTCTCATGATATAACTAATGCATATTTATACATTATGCTTTGAATGTAAAAAAAAAAACAAAAAATAACACATTGTATTTAAATAAAAATGTGGTTTTTAAACGAAAAAAATATATTTATATGGTTTAAAATGTAATAAAAAAGTATATTTATACGGTTTCAAATGGAAAATGGTCAAAACTGAACAAAATTTGATAAATGATGTTCGATTTGGAACAAAAAAACAGTGTCAAAATTGAAAGAAAAAATTAAACTTAGTGTCAAAATCGAACAAAATAAAAACTTAATGTTTTGTGGAAAAAAAATTTAATTTTGACACGTCAGCGTATCATGTCAGCATGCCACGTCCTCAAAACTGACATGTCATCATGCCACGTCAACATGTAACCTGGTTGACTGGTCAAGTGGTCAGAATTGTAACAAATTGGAAAACACAGTGTCAAATTTGAGACAAAAAAAAAACACAGTGTCAAATTAGAATTTTGGTGTAAATTGAGTGTCTTTTGTGTTATTTACCCTTATTTTTTCTTGGTTGGATAACTTGGTTGATAATGTATAACATAATTAATGACATTGGTTCATGTTGTGAATATCCTATAACCAAATAAATTGGTTCCCGTATGCCTAACATTTCAAAACAACTTTCTTTACTTGGAAGGCTTCGATGACACGGCCAAGTAGCAAGGAATTTGCAATGCTAATTACAAACTTATATAGATGTCTAAAAGAGCATCGGCAACATGAGAACTTTTTTTTCATGAAGAAGTTTAAAATGAAAAATCTCAGTTTGTTTCGACAATAGAAAAGCTTTTTCAATTTGCTAGTATTTATTTAGTTGTTTGTATAAATATCTATCTATATTTGGTTGAAATTTTATAAGATCTACCAAATAATTGAAAAGACTCGTAACAAGAGTTAGCTTTTTGAAAAACCTTACACATCTAAAAAGCTTGAAAAATCTTTGGTTACAACAAATGGAATATAAACAAAATCACTGGATTTTTTTTTCTTCACAAATTGCCTTTGTAAAACTTTTAAATCAACATCTAAATTACGATAAAAAGTGACATCATTGCTTTTGCACTGTGCATCACCATAATCTCACGTCGACTTTGCATCACCATTATCTCACGTCAACTTGAAGTTTCCAAACACTTCTTTTAATTAGATGCACACGTTTTCTACCCTATCTTTTCTCCAATCATTGTATTCCAACTTCACCTAACTAAATCAATCGAATTCAAGTTCTTATACAACCATAACATAAATACACTTGCATTTTGCAATTCATTACAACCATAATTGTTTTTGTAAACACATGGACTAATTATATATGTATAATAAAGCTATACGTAATTACGTATCTCCTTATAAATTACACCAAAAAAAAAAATCATTCCAACAATAATAAGTTACAAAAAGTAACACATACACAAGAATATGAAAGAATTTCCGTACACATCAAATTGTGCTTCCCATCATTATACTTTTTTTGCTTAATTACGAATAAGTTGGCCTAATCCAAATTGATTGCTATTACCAAACATCACGAAGGTATCTTCCCGACATCTGTAGATTCTTCACATAAAGTTCCGCCTTTGAGGAGTCTAAAGATCCCTGATATCCACAAAAAAATAATACAAGGTTAAATGCAAGAAACATCATACTTTCGTTTATTTCTTTTTTTACAAAACAATTTTCACTCAGATAATTTTGCAAAAAATGAAAGTAATAAATAAATGAAAATACATTGAATTTAGCATTATGGTGGTCAAATGTCCAAATTGCTTTCAAGTAATGAGGAGAGGTTTGTAGACTCTAGTGTAGATGTAGAGTATAATCAAAATGGGCAAATAGGTAATTTTAACTTGTATATATGCCAAATAGAAGAGTAGTGCTACAGTTAATAGTCACATCAAAACATGGTGTCGGTTTTCATGGGGGGCCCACATGGTGTATTATTTAAAGGTAAGAAGATAATAGAACGTAGGCCCCAAAATATTTAATACCACATAACTATAAGAGTTAATGTCTGTCACCGGCTTGGTAACACCGCCCAAAATAATATAGCTATTTTGACAAACCACTAAATGCAAGAAAAAACAATATATTTTTATTTTTTCGTTTATTAAAATATCATACTTTCATTTTTTTTTTCTTTCTAACAATGTACTTTTATTTTTTTTGTTATTAAGACATTGTACTTCCAATCTTTTAGAAATGCAAATTGCTTTGTATTTTGATGACATTGCTATAATCAGATAGATTTTTTAAATACAATACTGTATAATATTAAAATCCAAAAAAAAAAAAAAATCAAGAATTGAATATACCTGTTCTTGGACAATAGTGTGGAGTGTTCGATGTACATCTTTAGCCATGCCTTTGGCATCACCACATACATACAAATACGCTCCTTCAGAAAGCAACTTCCATAGATCCGAAGCCTGCATCCACATTTATTTTTATATATAAAAACAGGCCGAAATATTTATATATTTAAATACTAAATATTGTTTTTTTTTTGTCACCTTTTGAGTCATCTTATGTTGAACGTATTCCTTAGTTGGACCTTCACGGGAGAAGGCTAAAATAAGCTCGGAAAGCGCTCCAGTCTCCACAAAATTATGAAGCTCGTTTTCATATATGAAATCCTATAAAAGATGTTTATAAAAATTTAACATTCTTGAATTTTTTTAAAAAGTTTTTGAAAATACATACCACTTTGCGATTTCTGCATCCGAAAAATAAAACGGATGATCCGAGTTGGGATCCGGATTCCTTTAGGGCTAATCTTTCTTGAAGGAAACCCCTGAAAGGAGCCAATCCGGTTCCTGGACCAATCATAATAATTGGGATTTTAGGATCAGATGGAAGTCTGAAATTTGATGTTCTAACAAAAATAGGTGCCCAACTACAATCTTCACTTTCTGTCATTGGCACTGCATTCTGAAAAATAAAACCATAAACTTAAAATGTCATGTTTACCCTTTTGAAGAATCTAGGTTTTTGCTATTTATAGGAAGAAAAGAAAAGGAATTGATAATTGATAGTTTGATACCTTCATCCAGGTGGAACAAACTCCTTTGTGGACACGTCCTGATGGTGTTTTTTCATATACTAATGCACAAGTAACATGAATCCTTTCTGGTGCCATTCTGTAAGATTAGTAATATATATAAATATTATTACATTCTTGAATTATTATTTTAATAAATAAAATCAAGATTAGGGAAATAAACTTACTTAGGGGAGGAAGAAATTGAGTAGTATCTGGGTTGTAAGCGAGGGGCAACAGATGCAAAGAAAACACCAAGTGGAGGCTTAGCTGATGGGAAAGCCTCCATGACTTCAAGAAGGCTTCTTTGGCTTGACACTATCCACTGAGCATATTCATCCTGAACAATATTTATCCAACAAATAAATAAATATATAACATCACTTTTCAGTTTTCATATTAAGAAAAGAAATCCCAAACCTTTCCAGCAGGAGATGCAAGGAATTTCAGTCTCTCAGCTTCATCAGGATCAGTAGCATGAGCAGCTAGGGCAAGTAAAGCAGACTGAAATAAATAGTCATAAAGAATTTGTTAAATTTAAATTCGGATAATAATGATTGAAATAATAAATAGTTGTAATAGGAAGAAATGAAAGTACATTGCTAGATATGAAGGTATATATAAATACCTTTTTGGGAGAAGTTAAAACGTCTGCATAGGAAGCCAAGGCTTTTCTTAAAGTGCATGGCGGGAAAGGAGGTGGCAGGGAGGCTCCACCGAGTGGTGTTCCGTCTTCTTTATCAGTATGGATTGAGAAGTAAGTGTCTGGTGGTAAAGCTACCAATTTTTCAGCCTCCTCCACAACTTCACTTAGATTCTCACAGTACACTCCAACATGGTCCCCAGTCTCATATCTAAAATACAAATAAATAAATAAATAAATAAACAGATTCTTCCAACAACCCCTGACACTGTCAGATGTAAATCAGGTAGACAGTAGCCACTGACTATCACATTGGTATGCAAAAAGGTTATTCTTCCAACAACCCCCTGACACTGTCTCAGACACTGTCAGATGTAAATCAGGTACACAATGGCTATCACATTGGTATGCAAAAGGGTTATTCTTCCAACAACCCCTGAGCTGACCCACACTGTCAGATGTAAATCAAGTACACAATGGCTACTGACTATCACATTCTTCCAACAACCCCCTGACAGTGTCGGATGTAAATCAGGTACACAGTGGGTATCAGATTGGTCGATGGAGAGTACTATGAATTTAAAAACTTACGATAGTCCAGTGTTGGAGATGTCAAATTCCAAATGAGTGCAAGAACGATCGGATTCAGGGGTATGGAGCTCCTTTTTGATAGCAACATTGGATCTTTAAGCATACAAGATTATGTCAGAATGTAGAAGATATAATAATGTTAAAATATAATGATAGAAATTTGAGAATGCTATGATACCTGACTGGATGTTGAGCATCATGAACAGTATTCCCATTTGTTTGACTATAATCTTCAGCAAACGAGTCTGGTTTTTCATGAATCACAACTCGGTATTCTGAAACAGCAGCTGTGTAGGGAGTGGCAACAGTTGTATCATCTTCATCGCGGAGTAATTGATCCAATTCAGGCCACACTAACTCTTTCCTGAAGAAATGAAATATTAGAAAAAGGGTAAATTTTTAAATATTTAACAGACAAAAGTGTATTTCTTTTAGTACCATGCAGTGAAGTCATCTTCTATACATTGATCATCATCTCCTAAGCCAACAGGAACAAGGCGATTTGCACCTGTAAATAGTAAAGAATAATAAAGTATAAATAATAGAAAATCAACAATTTGTACCAATTTGGCAAAAAAAAGGGTGCACAATTCACAAATGTAATATGTGTATTGCAATATGTCAAGAAATGAGCATACCTGCCTCAACAAGCTTATCATCCACCACCTTTGCAATCTATATATCACAAACATTAAAGGAAAATAATGAAATTTAGAATAAAATGTAGTAGTGAATGAACATTTATAATGTTAAAGTTGCTTAATTATTAACCAAATAACCAATACACAACATGATATTAACTATCACCTTGTTGAAATGCTCATATTGTCTATTGCCAAGGCCAAATACTCCATATTGAAGCTTTTTAAGCCATTCTCCTTTCTCATCACCCTACATAAATAGCAAGAAAATTTAAATAAACAATTAAAGATTGGTGTACTAGTTATGCAGTATTTACCTCAGTAAACCATTTATAGAATCTGGCAGCATTATCAGTTGGCTCACCATCTCCATATCTACACAACAAATTATCATACAAAAATCAATCAGTAGGTACTTATTAGCCACCTACCATATCTTTATGAAATTATACATATCATAGTAATAAATATTATATACTCACTTACTAGATAGCGATATATGGTTAATAGTTTTTGTAAAATAAATTATTTTAACTAGAGGAGTTTCCAAAAATGGAAATCTTACAGGTTTGATGGAAGGTGAGGTGAATCTAATCAGTGGTGGCAATTAATTGAGAGAACTTACGTAGCCAAAAAGAAGAAGGCCAGAGATTCTTTCTTTAGTTTCTCCTCATACTCTTCATCATCAGCAGCATAATCATCCTACATTTGGAAAATAAAATCAATTAGGATTCACGATTCAATAGGCTGATAAAGTTCAAACGCTTTGAGAATCTGAATTCCAGATGAAAGTTAATTTAATACTCACCAAATCAATTATTCTAAAGACCGCTTTTTCATATCGAGCTTTAGCTTCCTCAACAAGTGCCTTTAAACAAGAAGATATCAATGTCAATTACGCTAAAAAAACTTATGATCGAAATCTAAATAAGTGTTGGCGGAAATTCTTCACCTTAGCAAAACCTTCAGCTGTTCCAGTTTGCGTGCCGAAGAAAACCGTAACTTTAGTTTTACCATCATCAACTTCCTCTTCCTGCACTCTCTTCGGAACCACAATCACCGGTGGCTCCAATTCCTTAGCCGATTTCTTCGTGGACGATCTCCGCCACACCAAAACGACTACACATCCAATCAACACCGCAACCGACGTTGTAAGTATCATCAACAGCTCACGGTTCTCCATAAGCATCGCCAACGAAGGCGGAATCATGGATTCTCCCGATTCCGATGCGTTCGATGTGTCAAAAATTTTGCCGTTGAGAAGCGCACTCATCAGATCAAACGCCGATATCTTAACGGAGTTGGATTGCATTTTTTCCACCCAATATCCAAACAATTCAACTACCAAACAACCCCTTGCCGACTAGAATACAGAAGATTCGAGAGTTGTCTTCGGTGAAAACAAAAACTACGGTTGTGTAGCTTTCTCTCTCTAGATCCTCTGGGGATTGGTAGGGGTAGTTGGGAGAAAGGTCTTGACTAGAGGGGGGCTTTTATGGTGGGGAAACGAAGGAGAGTAGAAAGAGGAGCCAACGCCTACCGAACCAGACTGGTCAGGCACACCTACCTTCCGTTAACCATGGTTACTTTTGTTACCACTACACAAATCTAGTTCATTTATTTAAATTAAATAATAAGATTAAAAAAAACATGTTTAATAAATCATTTAATTATTAAAATAATACAACATAATAATAAAAATTATTATTTTGTTGACGTTATATGACCAGAGTTATTTAAGTTGCATGATCATTGATAACATAGCAATCACTCACAAAAGTTTTGTGGCATGACGATGATTTTAAAATGATATAAATGTACTCAATTTCATAATCTAAAAATGAAAACCACATTTTAATCGACTAAACTAACATTGATTTGTCTTTATACGTACTTCACCTGATTTCAAGATAATGAGTGTCTTCAACATGCAATTTTTAGAAGCTTTTAGCTTTTAAGAAAAATGTTGGAAAAAAAAGTTCCGTTCAAAACTTTTAAGTTTTAGGTTAACTTCAAATCTAATAACCATTTCAACTAACATTTAATAAAAAACTTTTTTAGTTTTTAATAAATTAACATAAATATCTTATACGACTAAATATAAATATATTTTAGCAATTATGATGTTTTTATTTGAAACAAAATATATCTTATACCATTAAATATAAATATAGTTTAACAATTATAATGTTTTTATTTGAAACAACTAGGGATGAGCATAGGTAGATATCCGTCTATTTTGGCAGGGGAGCGGTTCTTCTGAAGTTGGAACTGGACCAGAACCGGTATAAACGATTCTTAAAGTTTTGGAACCGGTCCGAGAACCGACGATTCTAATTTCGGTGCTGTATAACCCAGTTACATTGTTTATTTTTTCGAAATACAAAGCATATGAAATTTATCCGTTACAAACGACAAAAATAAATAAATAAATATGCATTTAAATGATAAAGACTTAGTTGTTGATCGTTAAAAAATTACAATGACAATAAAACTAAACCATTAGTTAAAATATAAACATTTGTTTAGGGAAAATGACACAAATACCCTACGAACTTTTTAGGATTTACCCGTTGAGTCCCTAAAGTTTTGGTCAGACTTTATGGGTCCCTAAACTAGGATATGACCTACTCTTTTAGTCCCTGTCAACCTGTAATAGTCGGTTCAGTGACATTTTAGACCAAAAAAATGCACGTTATGCCCCTATAAAGCCAAAAAAATAAGTTCGAGGATCAATTCGTACCAAAAAAACTCTCATTTTCTTCTAAAGCCGATTCACACTCAATTCGTACCCTCCTAAACCAAATGATCATCAACATTTTATTCAGTCATTACAACCACCATAACTCACCTTAATCACCATCAAATCAATATCACAACAACCCAATCTAAACACCCTTATTCCTCCCCTTTGTCTCATGAAATAAGCCACCATTGGAGCACCCATAACCCACAAAAACCACCAGTCAGCCACCATAACCAATCACGTGCAAATCGAAGAAAAAAAAAGATTAACTTTTATTTTCTCTGTAAACCTCATCAAACCCACGCATCCTTCTCAACATCGCATCCATCAAACATGCAACTCGAAGGGAGAAGAAGAGGTAGCTTGTGCGATTTTGAATAGAGAAGAAAGAAGGAGGGTGTCAATTCCTTGAAGAGCTGAAATCGAATCAAATAAAATAAAGGAAGGGGGTTGTGATCGAGAATCGATTAGAAGGGGAAGAGGGTTGTGATTTTCGGTGAGTGTGTTTGACGATCGAGGGTGAAGACGGAAAGAAGAGTAGCGATCGATTTCTTGGGAGGGTACGAATTGATAGTGAATAAGCTTTAGAAGAAAAATGAGAGTTTTTTTATACGAATTGATCCCCAAACTTATTATTTTTGCTTTAAAAGGGCACAATGTGAGTTTTTTTGGTCTAAATGGTCACCGAAGTGGTTATTACAGGTTGACAGTGACTAAAAAGAGCATGCCATATCCTAGTTTAGCGACCCATAAACCCGACAAAAACTTTAGGGACTCAACGGGTAAACCCTAAAAAGATTGTAGGACATTTGTGTCATTTTCCTTTTTTTAATGGTTTTTCATACATTATGAGTTACGACTTTAAAATGGTATTAACAAAAGTGAATCACAACGCCATTTTATGTATTTTAATAATCATGATTTTATGTATTTTAATAATCATGATTTTTTATAAGTTGATTATTTTATGATTGTTATTGTCTTGTAAAGTTATTAAATGAGAACACCAAAAAGGTTGAGAACGCGAGAACACTTATGGACCAATCATTTTACAAGGGTATATTAGTAATTGTATATTTAATTTAAATTATAACAAATCTTAATCTCCTAAATTTTAGCATTATTAATTACAGTTACTTAAATTAATAGATTAACCAATTTTTATTTTATTTTTTTTATTAATTTATGACAAAAATAATTTTTATTAATTTTTTGTTAAAAAAATAATTTTTTTTTAATTTATCATTCATCAGATATTATATGTATAAAGATTGAAAAAACATTTTTTCTTTTGTATTCATAAATGAACGAAAACATACATTCAATTATTCTTTTTTAAGAATTTTATTTGATTTAATTATGTTAATTGCAAAGGATTATATATAACAATAAAAGATGGAATGAGTAAAGCACCATCCAAAAAAAAACTAAAAATAAAAACTCAATTCAATCGTAATCATAAACGTATAAAGTACATTTACAAATATAGAAAACCAATACATCTGGAATCATTAATGAATAAAGGAAAATGTAAAGATAAAAAATTCTACTTTAGTTGTAATCATAAATGACTGAAAAAGATAAAAAAAAATCTAGTTTGATGCGATTCTTCTTGTTGGTACCAGCACACACAGAAACAAAGAAGGGCACATGTGATCATTGTTATTCTTGGGTTCACACCTGCAAAATCAAGTTCAAGGATAATTAAAAAAATCAGATAATAACATTGTGTATACATCTTCACATTCACAAATGAATGTATGTTTGTCTTTTGATGGCAGAGAAAGGAAAATTTTTTTTTTTAGTTTTTACCATAAACCTTATAATGAATAAAGATTTATTCATGTATGATGATAACTAAAATCATGTATGGTGATAACTATAATCATGTATTAACACTGAAGAATAAATTGAATAGAGCTTAAAATCATAAATAATTAATACTGATGAAATAAAATTTATTAGTTTTTATCTCCATTTCATAATCATTAGTGAATTTTAACATATTCATAATTAAATAGGATTGAAAAAAAATATAAAGTCTACCTTTTTAATATCTTGATTTGGATCCTTTTCATTTGAATCTTTAACAATAACAAGATTCAGAAGCTTGTAACGATTAAGGAGCATGGAGTTGAATCTAATGAGCTATTATAACCTCTTGGTTCAATCAAATTGGGACGATGAACTTTCCCTGAAATAAATGAGCGACATAATTAAAAATTACAAAACAAAAAATCATGATCAATTTATGAGGGATAAACTAATCACACTTATTCAAACATAGTCATTGAAGCATTTAGTCGAACAAGTGTTGTGCCAAGAATAGTGCACATATATTCCTTTGATTCACCTGCCTCTTCTTCTTCTTCTTCTTCTTCAATGATTCAATGATTCAATTCTCTCCCTGAAATCTACAACATGCATCAAATAAAAAGTTTCAAGATATCCTTCAAGAAGCTTTCATTAATCCGCTCAACATTCAAGGAAAACTTTACATCGGAATCCTTCCAGGCATGAATTCAACCCATTTCCCCAATTCTCTATAAACCCAAGTTCATATCGTTTCTTATAATGATGGGAATTAATCAGGTGTGGAATCGCGACTTGCGATACTAACCCTAGATACAAACAATTTGAATAGAATTGCAGAAATCGATAACCCTACCTTGATCACAAGTGGGCCTTTCAAACCCTGATTGGTCGCTTGCAGCGTCAACTGCACAAAGAGGCTGCAGGAATCAAGGTGATTGACAATTTTGAACAAGCGATGCCCTGAAAATCGATTCAACACCTCAAGCATCTTGATCTTCTCCGTTCATCGAGACCTTCACAGTAGCACATTTAAGAAAAATCGGGAACAATCCTTTCTGATTAAAATCGATTTCAAGTCTGGAATCTCAAGATGAAGGTTGTGATGATGGTTTTGGAAGTGTATGGTGGTGACGACTCAATTAGGGTTTAAAGGTTTGAAATTTGTATTTAGAGAGTGAGAGGAAGAAGGATACGTGAGTGAGAGATAGGGAGAGAGGGGGATAGAGAGATTCCAACAACTTGACAAAAATAGGTGAACATGTAATGACCTTATTACCCTTTAGACTTTTAGAAAGTTACAATCTCATCCCATGACTTTTAGAAAGTTACAATTTCATCTCATTACTTTTATAAATTATATTAGCCTTAGATCGTAATATTTGAAGAGCTCAGATCTGTTCTCGCGTTCTCAACCTTTTTGGTGTTCTCATTTGATCCTACTCCTATATATATATATATATATATATATATATATATATATATATATATATATATATATGGGATAGTTCATGTGAGGACACACTTTAAAATGAGAACAGGAGGACAAATTTCAGTCGTTAGATTATTTTATTTAAGGGTCAACATGGATAAACTGGGTATGAGTCGTATTCTATCATGATTTAAGTACAAAAACATATTCCAAAATGATTTATATGCGTATAAGAGTAATTATGTAAATGACTTTTGTGTTAAATAAGGGAACTCTATCATATGTCAAATGTTGATCGGTAATCACTCCCATAAAAATCTCCCCAATTCTTTTCCATTCTGTTTGAAAGGATCGTCAAAAATCATCAACAAATTTTCCAAGAAATTAGTTTGATTCTGTGAGATTATATATTTGGAACGAAATGAAGTAGACGAGATCACAAAGCTTACGAAGAATATCAAGAATGATGGTATCGAGTTAGAAATCAAAATTTCTAACACAACTGTCAATGTTATCAATCTTGAGTCGACGTTTTGTAC